ATGGGGTATAATATGGTCCACTTCACTCCGCTGCAGACTGTGGGGGAGTCAGGCAGCTGCTACAGGTGCCTAAACCCTAAACCCTAAACCCTAAACCCTAAACCCTAACCCTGTGCTCTAGCACTCCCAGCGTCGTGCAGTAGTGGAGTTGGGGGCCTAGGGTTTAGGGTTTGGGGTTTAGGGTTTGCTCGAAGTTGTGGAGTGCGTGCTCTTTCGGCCCCCACTGCGAGTGAGGGTTTAGGGTTTAGGGTTTAGGGTTTAGGGTTTGGGTTTGCGTGCAGTCTGGCGAACCAGCTGGAAATAGACTCTTTTTTTTTCCGAGACGAGCCCGAGGAGGGTTTGGAGGGAGAGGGGGCCCCCAAAACCCTAAACCCTCGCGAGGGTTTGCAAACCCTAGCAGCAGCAGTTAAGATGTTGGAAAAAGAACTTGGGATTCTTTCGGCCACAGACCTCGTTTTAAACCACACTGCCAGCAACAGCGAGTGGCTGAGGGAGCACCCCGAGGCGGGGTCAGCTTCGAGGGTTTAGGGTTTAGGGTTTAGGGTTTAGGGTTTAGGGTTTAGGGTTTGGGAGGGCTACGGTGTAGGGTTTGCGGTTTAGGGGGAAGCTTCAGGGTTTGGGTTTCAGGGTTTGGGTTTCAGGGTTTGGGGTGCAGGGTTTGGGGTCCAGGGTTCAGGGCGTCGGCATAGGGTTTAGGGTTTAGGGTTTAGGGTTTAGGGTTTAGGGTTTGGGTTTAGGGACGGTGGCATATGCAGAGTGCAGGTTCAGGGCGCGTGCGCCTTGTTCCCTGTCCCGCAGTGCAGAGGGCTTGGGGCCTAGGGTTCGGGGCCTAGGGTTTAGGGTTTAGGGTTTAGGGTTTAGGGTTTAGGGTTTAGGGTTTGGTGCAGGTACAACTTGGAAAACTCGCCGCACCTGCGGGCTGCCTACGAGTTGGACGTGGCTTTGCAGGAGTTTTCGGAGTGTCTGTACAGCGGGGGTTTGAGGGTTTTGGGGTGTACAGACACCATAGCTTCTGAGGAGGACTTGCAGAGGGTTTTGCATGCGCTCGAAGAAAGGGTTTTGAAACCCTTTTCTTTTCAAGAGTGGTTTAGACTCGAGCCCGAGCCCCTCATAGAGGCCTGGCAAAAGGACATTTGTGCTGCTGGCCAGCAGCAGCAGCAGCAGCAGCAGCAGCAGCAGCACGAGATCACCACCGCCCAGCAAAGGCGCGATATCCTCTACCAGATGGTCCGCAGGACGGGGGTTTAGGGTTTAGGGTTTAGGGTTTAGGCTCTAGGCTTTGGGGTTTGGTCCCTAGCTGCCCGCTGCGGGAGAGGCGAGAACGCCTCCGTCGCGCGCCGCGCCCCAAAGGCGAGGGTTTAGGGTTTAGGGTTTAGGGTTTAGGGTTTAGGGTTTAGGGTTTGCGGCTTCAAGAGGGGGCTGCCGGGGTTTGTGGGTCGCTTTGTTGCCCCGGGGCTGCGTTTCAGGCCTTTGCTTCCCAGACCCCAGGGTCTAGGGCCTAGGTTTTAGGGTTTAGGGTTTAGGGTTTAGGGTTTAGGGTTTAGGGTTTGCGTGCGTCAGGCTTTGCGAGAGTGCGGGAAAGCGCGTGGGCGTCCGATATCGTTTCCCGAGGGTTTTTTGGTTTCTTTGTTTCCTTCAATTCATTATTTGGCGGAGTTGGAAGCAACTTTGAGAGAAGTGAAGCAGCAGCTTCTTGCTGCTGCTGCTGACTGCCACAGCTGCTGCAGCAGCAGCATCGAGGGTTTAGTTCGCTACGAGCGGCTGCAGTGCAAGAAGGGGCCCATCCGGCCAAACCACTGGGAGGCCCTGGTGCCGCGCTACTTCACGCCTTTGCCCAGCAGCAGCAGCAGCAGCAGCAGCAGCAGCAGCAGCAGCAGCGGCAGCAGCAGCAGCAGCAGCAGCAGCGCGAGGGGCCTGTGGCTGTTGCAAACAACGGCTGGGTCATGTCTTGGGATGCCACGAAAGATTTTGCTGCTCCAGGGTCTTTGGTGTATTTGCGAACCCAGCTGGTGGTTTGGTCCGACTGCGTCTTACTCCGGTAAACCCTAAACCCTAAACCCTAAACCCTAAACCGTAAACCCTAGAGCCTCGACGACGGTGAAGCAGCAGCACCCCGCGACACAAACCCCCAGCAGCAGCAAGCGCCTCGCCGCCGCCGCCAGCTTGTAGCCTTGCGCTTACGACCTAGGGTTTACGGTTTAGGGTTTAGGGTTTAGGGTTTAGGGTTTAGGGTTTGCGAGGGTTTAGGTACGGCGACGGCCCTGAAGACTGCCCCTTCTTGTGGGATATGATGGCGAAGTACTGCAGAGAAACCGCCAAAATATTTCCTGCTGTTCGTCTCGACAATTGCCACTCAACTCCTCTCCACGTGGCAGAGGTAGGGTTAAGGGTTTAGGGTTTAGGGTTTAGGGTTTAGGGTTTAGGGTTTAGGGTTTGCGTTGGGAGTGGGGTTTGAAGGTGCTTTGCTTCGCTTCGCGAGCGGGCGCCACGAGTGCCCCCCTGCGTGCGCGCTGGCCGCAGCGCTAGCTACCGAAGGTTTAGGGTTTAGGGTTTAGGGTTTAGGGTTTAGGGTTTAGGGTTTAGGGTTTAGGGTTTGTGTTTCGCAGTACATGCTGCGGGAGTGTCGTCGGGAGCGGAGCGACTTGTGGGTTTACGCGGAGTTGTTTACTGGAGATCAAAAAGTAGATTTGAAGTTTGTTTCTCAATTAGGGTTAAATGCTTTAATTCGAGAAGCTTTGCAAACCCTAAACCCTCGGGACCTTTGTTGGCAGCTGCAGCAGTTCGGGGGTTTGCACTGGGAGGGGCAGCTGGACCCGCGGCCGGCTTACTTGCAGCTGCCTGCTGCTGCTGCGGCTGCTGCTGCTGCTGCTGCGGCCAAGCCCGCGGCCGCTGCTGCTGCTGCTGCTGCTGCTGCTGCTGCTGCTGCTGCTGTGGGGGGGGGGGCCCCCGGGGGCCCCCTGAGGCCCCTCCCTGCCTCTCTTTGCCCCGCACTCTTCTACGACTGTACCCACGACAATGAGCCAGCAGCAAGCAAGTTCACTCCAGCAGCAACTCTGGCTTTTGCTGCTGTTGCTGCTGCTGCTGCTGCTGCTAGCGGCAGCACCCGCGGCACTGATGAACTTGTCCCCTTCACTCTTTCGGTGGTTCACGAGCGCCGCCTTTACCACGACTTCCACCCCGAAGTCCCGCTGCGAAACCCTGCTGCTGCTGCTGCTGCTGCAGCAAAGCCCGCAGCAGCAGCAGCAGCAGCAGCAGCAGCAGCAGCAGCAGAGGAGGGCGTGGAGGTGGTGTGGCCCGGAGAGGCGCAGCAAGTGGCCGTGCGGGGCGAGTGGGACGGGTGGGCTGCGGACGTGCCGCTGGAGCGCAGCAGCAAGGGTTTAGGGTTTAGGGTTTTGCTGCAGCAGCAGCAGCACTTCCGAAACCCTCAAGGCAGCAAAAAGGAGACAGTGCAATTCAAGTTCATTGTCGACGGCCAGTGGAGATACAGCCCAAGCAGCCCCACAGTCTCCGACGGCCGCGGCAACATCAACAACATTGCTGCACTCCCGGGGGCCAAGTTGCCCGGTAAACCCTAAACCCTAAACCCTAAACCCTAAACCCTAAACCCTAGGCCCCGAGCCCAGACGCTGAACGCTGAGAAGCGGGGGCCCGAGGGCTCTCTGCCCCGGGGGCGGCGGGGGTTTCGCCGGCGCTGCTGCTGCGGGCGGCCTCCCCAAGGGGAAGGGTTTAGGGTTTAGGGTTTAGGGTTTAGGGTTTAGGGTTTGCGCGCAGGGTGTTTGCCCGGGCTGCTGGGCGTGCGCCCCGTGCTGAACCGGCTGCACGTGCGTTTGGCTGAAGAAGGGTTTAGCCAATTTGCTGTTGAGCTTTTGGGAGAAGATTTAATTTTAATAAAAAGAATAAACCCTCAAACCCTAAATTGTTGTTTCACAATAGCCCGCTGCGCCTACCCGGGCTGCAACGCCGCAGCGCCGCTGCCCCCCGTGAGCCAAACCCCAAACCCTAAACCCTAAACCCTAAACCCTAAACCCTAGGTCCTCGCGGGGAGCGGCGCCCCCGAGGAGCGCGCCCTGGAGCGCGCGTGTGCCGCGGCCAGTCTGCGTCTTTTCAGCATTCAGCGTTAGGGTTTAGGGTTTAGGGTTTAGGGTTTAGGGTTTAGGGTTTAGGGTTTAGGGTTTAGGGTTTGGCGCAGGTGGTGCTGAGCGGGAAGATAACGGAGGTGGCGTTGGTGGCGAGTTTGCATGCAGAGAGTGGGGCTGTGGGGCGGTTTGCTGCTGACAGCAAATTCATAAATGGAGTTGAGGGTTTGGCGAGGGTTTACGAGGGTTTGGAGAGTGTGGGGCGGTGTACGTACACCGCAGCGAGCGGCGAAACCACGCTGCTGCTGCAGCAGCAGCAGTTCCCGCCGGGGTCTGCTGCAGTGCTGTTCACGGCGCCGGAGGACCCCTTGCTGCTGCAGCAGCTGCAGCAGCAGCTGCGCGAAACTGTGGAAAGGGCCCCCGCGCTGCTGGCAGCAGCAGCAGCAGCAGAACTCAACTCTCTCCTTTACAAGTGCAGCAGCGAAGAAGAAGATGCATCTTGTGGGGCCCGCGGGGTGTACGTACTGCCGGGATATGGACCACTGGTCTACAGTGGTTTGGCGGGTTTGGTGGGGGTTTTCGACGCAGCGCGGCAGCAGCAGCAGCAGCAGCAGCAGCAGCAGCAGCAGCAGCAGGCCGTTTGCGAGAACCTCCGCAGCGGCTTGTGGCTGCTGCAGTACACCGTGGACCGCCTCGCCGGCCACAGCACGCTGCTGCCGCTGCAGCAGCAGCTGCAGCAAACCCTGCTGCTGCTGCAGCAGCTAAAAGGCTACAACTGGATAAGACCCTACATAGTGGACCGGCTGGTTTGTGGGGTTTACGCGCAAGTGGGGGCTTTGGTCTGGTCCCGAATTCCTGCTGCTGCTGCTGCTGCACCTCGCTCTCGCCTCGCTGCAGTGCTACGGAACTGTTGCTTCCGCCCCACTCTCCTGGGGATCGGCCGATCCCAGTCTTGCTGCTGGACTGCCCCACTTCTCCACGGGCTTTATGCGCAACTGGGGCCGCGACACCTTCATCGCCATCCGGGGCATTCTCATCGCCACGGGGTAGGGTTTAGGGTTTAGGGTTTAGGGTTTAGGGTTTAGGGTTTGGGGTTTGGGGCTTGCGGTGTGGGGGTGGGGGTTGGGGGCTGGGGGTGCCTTTCGTCGCCATCAGGGGCGTTCTCATTGCCCCGGGGTAGGGTTTAGGGTTTAGGGTTTAGGGTTTAGGGTTTAGGGTGCGGGGTTTGGGGGTTGCGGGAAGGGTTTAGACCCGAGGGCTGGGGTGAAGCGGGTGGTCTAGGATCTAGGGTTTAGGATTTACGTTCAGCCTTTAGGGTTTAGAGTTTAGGGTATAGTGTTTGGGGTTTAGGGTTTAGGGTTTAGGGTTTAGGGTTTAGGGGTTTGGGCGGCTGTGGGGGCGCGACGAAGTCACAGCTCCCCACCCCTGAAGACTCATGCGTTATGCTGTAGGCCCCGGGGTTTAAGCATTAGGGTTTAGGGTTTAGGGTTTAGGGTTTAGGGTTTAGGGTTTAGGGTTTGTGCAGGCGGTACGCGGAAGCGCGCAGGGAGATTCTGGGCTACGCCCGCGTTTTGCGTCATGGGCTAATCCCTAATTTGTTGGATTCGGGAAATAACCCTCGATACAATGCAAGAGATGCCACTTGGTTCTTCATGCAGGTCCAAACCCTAAACCCTAAACCCTAAACCCTAGACCCTAAACCCTAGGCGCTGCGCTGCGGGCGGGCGGGCTTCGAGGGGCCCGCGCCCGGGGAGCTCCTGGCGCGAATGAGCGCCGTAGACGTGTCCAGGGTTTAGGGTTTAGGGTTTAGGGTTTAGGGTTTAGGGTTTAGGGTTTAGGGTTTGGGGTTTAGGCAATCCAAGACTACTGCCTGGCGGCTCCCGAGGGTTTAGACTTTCTGCTTTGTCCCGTCGAAATGAAATATGGAAAAAATGCTTCTCAACTTCCAGAAGAAGAAATTCGAAATATTGGAGATGTCATGCACCACATCCTGGCCTCACACGCCAAAGTAGGGTTTAGGGTTTAGGGTTTAGGGTTTAGGGTTTGGGTTTTCAGGAAGCGTGTAGGGCTTGTGGGTCTACGGCTAATTATTAGGGTTTGGGGTTTAGGGCGTGTGCGTGGGCGTTTTGCGTGAGCGCAGCGAGGCTCCACGAAGGGTGCATGCATTGCTTAGGGTTTAGGGTTTAGGGTTTAGGGTTTAGGGTTTAGGGTTTGTGGGTTTGCAGGGCATATCATTTCGCGAGTGGAACGCGGGCAAACAGCTGGACGAGCAAATGACGGAAAAAGGGTTTCAAATAGACATTTATGTAGACCCTAATTCAGGGTTTATTTTCGGGGGCAATGACCGAAACTGCGGCACTTGGATGGACAAAATGGGCTCTTCAGAAAAGGCAAACCCTAAACCCTAAACCCTAAACCCTAAACCCTGAAAAGACCTGCAGCCTCACGCCCGAGCCGCAAACCCTAAACCCTAAACCCTCATGCTGTCTTTTCGAGGAGGGAGCGACCGGGCGCGTGCTGCTGCTGCCCCCCCACCCTACACCCTAAACCCTAAACCCTAAACCCTAAACCCTAAATCGTGGTGCGTCGCGCAGGCGGGGAACAAGGGTTTGCCGGCGACTCCGCGGGACGGCGCAGCAGTGGAAATAAATGGACTTTTGAAGTCGAGTTTGCGATTTGTTTCAAAACTTCCAGAAAGGGTTTTTGAACACAAGTCTGTTTGTTTTCGAGATGGGTCGGAGTGTCTGTACACCCGGTGGGACTCGCTGTTGAAAGCGCGCTTCGAAACCCTTTTTTTCGTCCCGCTAAACCCTCAAGAAGACAGCCAGTACTTCCTAAACCCTAAATTAGTGAATAGGAGAGGCATCTTCAAAGACACCTTCAAAGCCTCCACTCCCTGGGCCGATTTCCAACTCCGGCCCAACGCATGCGTCGCCCTCGCAGTCGCCCCCGAACTCGGTTTAGGGTTTAGGGTTTAGGGTTTAGGGTTTAGGGTTTAGGGTTTAGGGTTTAGGGTTTCGGCTTTGGGGGTTGGGGTGCGGGGTTTAGAGGGAAGAGCGGGACCTGCGGGCTGCGAGTTGGATGGAGGGCTGGGTGCTCGGGGTGGGGATCCGGCAGCACGAGGGTTTAGGGTTTAGGGTTTAAGGTTTAGGGTTTAGGGTTTAGGGTTTAGGGTTTGGGGTTTAGGGTATTGCAGGCTGGGAGCAGCGTGGGGGGTAGAGGTTCACGGGACTAGGGTTTACTGCGGCTAGCGGGTGCGCGCAGCGGTGTGTGTGCGGGGCTTGGGCCGAGGGTTTAGGGTTTAGGGTTTAGGGTTTAGGGTTTAGGGTTTGGTTGCAGGAACACGCGCGGAGTTACTTGAAAGCGGTGGAAGAGGTTTTGATGGGACCCAATCAACTCGGACTCAAAACCCTAGACCCTAGCGACTTGGAATACAGACCAGATTATGATAATGGAGAAGATAGCAGCAACAAAGCCACTGCCCACGGCTGGAACTACCACCAGGCACAAACCCTAAACCCTAAACCCTAAACCCTAAACCCTAGCTGGCCGAAACACAGACCCTAGCGACTTGGAATACAGACCAGAT